TACAAATTGCTTTTAACTAATTCTAATATCTTCTTCAACTAAAACTTCTTGTAGCATCATCAAAACAAATTTCTTTAAGATTTACCAATACTCCTTATTGGTAACAGAAGGGTTTTTACAGACGGCCGCTCGGCCTTCGGTAAAAGTGAGTTACCGACGGTCAGATAGATGATTATCGAAGGCCATGGTGAAATAGCATTACAGACAGCAAAGAAAAGTTTAGCGAGGGGTGTGTGACCTTAAGTAAGAGGCTCGACCCATTAAACTAAGTGATTGAAGCTAAAAAAAGAAATTGTTTGCATCCCTCGAGAGCATTGTGTCGCGCGAATGCCATGCCTTTAGTTAGGGTTTCTGCCTCCTTACACCTTTTCCGCCATTTTTGACTGATTAAACCTCCTCTCACCGTTTAATCTTCACTTCCCACCGATTAAACAATTTCTCACTGATTAATCGGTACATTTAAGGTTTCCTCCACCAATTAGGGTTTTTCCCTTGGCGCCTTGGGTTTTCTATTTCTCTACTTCTTTCCACTTCGAATCAACCTTAAGGATGCCTCGAGGAGTGCAAATCGCACAAGTTCCATCTTCTCCTCGGAGCGCCATGCTATTTCAGAGCCTAGATTAAGGCGCATCTTCAGGAGCTAAGTCTTTCGAGTCTTTGTTTTTGGTTTTGTATTTCTGTTTATGTCATCTTCATTTCGTTTTGTCTTTATTTGCTTTGTTTTTGTCTTGTTTTGATTTTATGCGTTTATTTTTGTTTAGCTTCCGCGTTGTTCTTTATTCGTTTGTACTGTCTTATGGTTTAATCCTCTATTTTGTGCATTGTCTTGAGTGTTATGGTTAATGTTGCTCATGAACTGTTTGATTAAAGGTCTGAATGAGATTCAATATGTTTGTTTGTTCTTGAATCTTCATTTCTGTGTTAGGTCTCCAAGTTTTGCTTGTTCTGTTGCTTGAGTCATTGTAATTTTCATTTTATTCGGTGCAATCCTCTGATTGAGTCTTTTAATATTGGAAATCATATTCTGTCATGTCTCAATCATGTTGTTTGTTTCATTTGTCATTTAATCTCAGTTTTCATCAATTAATTTTGTTTAAAATCACGATTCTTCTTGTGCAAAGTGTACACACTAGTTGAGCGATGAAACTCTTATGAGTGAGCTTGCTGGAAACTGAATTTGCACTATTTTGAATTGTCATTTTGCAACGAATTGGTTTAGCTTTGCGGTGCCTAATCTTGAGTCAATCATACTTGGTACTAGTTCATTGCCATGTTCTGTTTTAATTTCCAGATTGTGTGTATACTGAGAACTGTAGAATTGAATGTGTGCGCCAAGTGCCTGATTGAATGTTGATTATAATCAATCTGATTTACTGAAGATATGTTATTGCCTTCACTAGTTATCTTCTTTCCATTCAAATATGCATTTACAAGATCCTTTGTTTAATAGAGTATGCATAAAGGGTGTTTAAGTCTGATTCTTTTTTTTTTTGTTTAAAACTACTTGACGCCCTCGCCGCGACCTCGTCGTGCCTCGCCGCCAACGTTGAGTCTGCCGCAGTGAAGAAAAAGAGCAGAAGCTTCAAGCTTCTGGATTTCGCAAGATGAAGAGGAAAAAAAAATGGAGGATACTAAGGCTCGCGAGAAAGGAAACCCAAGGCCGGGAGAAAATTTTTGCATAAGATATTAAAATGTTGGGCTTGATCAAGGGTTTTCATCCTAATGTATCCAATTAGGATTTTGAATAAAAAAATATTATTTATTAAAAGGAAATTTAGAGAGCATCATAATTCTATTTTTTTATTAAATTTCATGTCATCACTGCAACATATTTTTTTAGTAAAATATCCACTTCAGTATATCCACCTCAACACATTTAACGCCGTCTGTGAAAACTTAACGAACAAGATTTAATTGGCTTAATTTTTCAAATATTTGAACCAAATTGAGACATTTTGCAAATATATGAATCCAAGTGAGACAGTTGAAAATATGAAGACCCACTTGAGATTCTCATATAAATACGAGGACTATCCAAGGCTTTAAACCTATTTTGTAACGTGTGTAGGGAGAGAGAATAGTAGTAACAAATACCAAATCATTTTGAAACACCGTTCTTTTTACTTTAACGTAGGTTAAGTTTTCTTTTTTCTATTCACAAAAAAAAGTTAATTTTAAAAATTAAGAAAAACCATGTTTAAACTTAAATTGAAAAATACTTTTACAAGCGCGAGTGATCCTAACAAAATTTAATCTTGAGTTCCATATTGTTTGTGAAAAACCTTGATTTTCTTGTATTTTATAGTTTATAAAAAAATTTAAATGAGTTTCTTTTATCATATTAGTTTCACATTGATTATTCAAAAAATTCATTGAAGTTGTTAGAACTATTTGTGAGTTTTTAAAAATGAAAATAAGTAATTATTCGTATACTTTAAGTCTAATTCAACCTTACAAAAAATTATATTTATTTCTATATTTTAAATTGGTCTTATTTTTAATTGATCTAGAATTTGAAACACACTTCTTCATGTTGAGATACAAACATTTCGTACGTTAGACTATACATTAATGAATGATATGATAGCGTGTGGAATAATATGTTCAACAAACAAAAAATATTGCTAAAATAAACTTTAACAATGACTTTGATAACATGTTAAAAATTAAACTTTAAGCCTAACTCAATTTTATAAAACCGACTTGTAAGATAACGTTTCCGTCTGATTAGATATATTCTAAATTGGTCTTATAAGTTGACTCCACGCTTCTATTTATATATATATATATATATATATATATATATATATATTTGAAGTAAATATTCTAATAAATACACTTTTTTATAACACATTTTGAATAATTAGAGAGAAAGAAAACAGTTAAACTTTTTAGTAACATCCAGATACAAATTTATTCAACACATGATACCAAGTAGTAGGAACGTCATTATAGCATTCTTGAATGATGTTTAAAGAGAGATGAAGAGATTATTCATTACATATATAGGATAATCTATAACACATTGCAATTATTGTTCTCTTATATTATAATATGCAACGCAAGTACTTCCACTGTATCATATATTTATTTCCGAAGACGTGGCTCATCTGCACCAGGCTAAACTTCATCAGGCTCAACTTGATCCGGCGTAGTTTGATCAGACTCAACTTGATCAGGTGTAATTTGAGCATTATCTACACCAACAACATATTAATTAAACTTCTAACATAATGAGTTTATTAGAATGCACAAATATTAATTATATTCCTTAAGTGATATGTAATTTTCTTAAAAAATAGACTTTAAGAGAATAAAGAAGTGAAAAAAGAAGCGATACATATCGGTGGTGGTGGTGGAGGTGGCGGTGGTGGTGGCATTTGAGTAGGATACACACACCAATTCAAATATGGTAGAAGACAAGCTGATAAAGCTGATGAATCAACATTAGAACCAGTCAAACAGGTTTGTGCAGTGAAATGAGAGCAGGTTCTCAAGACGGTTTGAAACTTTACAGTCTGAATGAGCACTGGCAAATATTGAATTGACTGTTTAGGGTTATCGGAAGAAGTTGTTTGATAAAGTGAGGCCTTGTGGTCTACCAAGCATGCTTCCATGGAATCAAAAAGGCATTGAAACAACCCTAATTGGCCATTGATTCCACCTCCTTTCTTCATTGGATCATTTCCACTGCATGTTTCTGTAACATGTGAGCTGCAATGTGTCACAAACCTCATGAACCTCGGAGACTCGTACGCTTGAGTTTGTCCATTAAGTATTTGATTAATTGCCAAGCTCATACCATCGTGTTTAGCAAGATTACTGGTTTCATCAGTTCCAGCATCTTCTGCAGCATCACTTGTTGCAGCAACTTCTGTAGGTTTAATGGCTTCACCAGCGCCAGCATCTTCTGCAACCACAACACTTATGAACAGTAATACAGTGATTACTATTACTCTCATTCTCTCCATGATTAGGTTTTCCTTATGATAAACCAATTTACATTTGGTTGGTGCTTAGGTGCATGAAGTTTACAATATATATACGTAGAAGAATATAGAAACTATATTCATGTTTATTATAAAAAAATTATAACGACCTTTCATCATTATTACACAACCTGACTCATTTGCTTCACAAGAGTTAAAAATAGAATTTAATTACATAACATAATGTATTTAAGCCATGCACTAACTGATATTGCAATATTCGTATTTATTTCTATTATTTTTTTAAGAATTTCCTTATATGTATGTGTATTTCTACATATATACTAAAAATTGAGCAGCAATGTTCTAAGTTAATACGTCTATTAATTTTAAAGAGAGATATAACTTACCTTTGATGAGTTATTGATATACATGATAAGAAGAAAAATAGTTAAGTGATTATTATTTTTCATTGTATTGAATAAATTATAAAGCATTTGTGATAAAAGAGTAATATTTAGATAATAATATTTTGCCACCCTTTCGTGTATTGGATATCGCAAAAACTTGCATCAAATAATTAATGTTGAATTTTGAAAATTTGGGTTTCACAAAGAGGTCGATCCTTCATTGAAATTAAGAGTCATTATTATGTGACGTCACAGTTATAAGTAAAATTGTTTTTAGAACGACAGTTATATAAGAAAAAGGATATATATATATATATATATTGAAAATATATAATTATATTAATTAATGTATTATAAGACTATATTTTTAATAAATATAAGCAACAGATAATATATATCTCTAGAGAATTGGTTATTTATATTTAAAACGGAACTCATATAATTCATGTAAATTAATTTTAGTTGGGTAACATTTTGTTACAGTTGAAGAAAAAATTGATATTAAATGGCACATTGTATATTATATTTGTCAAGACTCTTTTTAAAATATAAATTTATGGAAAAGTTTAAATTCGTCTTTAATTAATTACGTATTAATTTAGATATTAATGTATTTGATAATAAAAATATTGATAATTAATATTTATGTAAGGATTTCTTCTAATATTTCATAAATGATTTAAGATGTTGGAGTTTCTTTCACTAAAATAAATGAATTGATTGTATTCTATAAAATCTTTTAATTATAATAAATAATTTCTTAGACAGTAAACATTTATTTTTATGTTTTTGTTGCGGATAAGATTAGTGGATGAGAGAATGTTAGGAACGATATATATTTTGTAATGTGTGTAGGGAGAAAAAATAGTAGTAACAATACCAAATTATTTTGAACCACCGTTCTTTTTACATTTATCACATGTATGAAATATTAGAAGAAATCCTTACATAAGAAACAATTTTAGAACTCAAAAATAAATAATATAAGTATAAATCTATAAACTAAAAATTATTAGTATTTAAAATAATTTCAAATAATAAATAATAATTAATTTAAAAATTAGTATTTAAATTGGTCTTTAATATTAATTATCAATATTTTTATTATCAAATACATTAATATCTAAATTAATACGTAATTAATTAAAGACGAATTTAAACTTTTCAATAAATTTATATTTTAAAAAGAGTCATGAAAAATATAATATACAATGTGCCATTTAATATCAATTTTTTCTTCAACTGTAACAAAATGTTACCATACTAAAATTAATTTACATGAATTATATGAGTTCCGTTTTAAATATAAATAACCAATTCTCTAGAGATATTCTGTTGCTTATATTTATTAAAAATATAGTCTTATAATACATTAATTAATATAATTATATATTTTCAATATATATATATATATATATATATATATATATATATAGTGTGTGTGTGTGTGTCGAAACCATATTGATGTGTTTATTATAAAAATTATAATGACCTTTCATCTTTATTAAACAACCTGACTCATTTGCTTCACAAGAGTTAAAAATATATAGCTATCTCCAAACACAAAATAGAATTTAATTACATAAAATAACAGAATGTATTTAATCATTGGACTAACTGATATTGCAATGTTCGTATTTATTTCTTCTATTTTTTTTTAAAGAATTTCCTTATATGTATGTGTACTTCTACATATATACTGAAAATTGAGCTGCAACATATATTAATTTTAAAGAGGCATATCTTACCTCTGATGCATGATAAGAAGAAAAATAGTTAAGTGGTTATTATTTTTCATTGTATTGAATAAATTATCAAGCATTTGTGATAAAAGAGTAATATTTAGATAAAAATATTTTGCCACGCTTTCATGTATTGGATATAACAAAAACTAAAATTTGGGTTTCACAAACAGGTCGATCCTTCACTAAAATTAGGTTTAATCATTTCGAATGTCTTTATTTATGCAGAGAAGTCTCAAATAGGTCTTTGTATTTTTTTTATCTCAATTAGGTCCTGTTCTTGTAAAATTGAGTCAATTGTAACTTTGCCGTTAATTGAACTGGACGAGGTTAAATTTTTTGGGTTGTGGCATGGTGACTGCGCAATTGTTAAGCACGTGACAGAAAAAGCTCGCATTATGTGTAATTTAAAACTAAAAAAAATTGGGATTTTATTAAATCCCTAAATTCAAAGATGAAAGCATATCAACCTCTTGTCACCCTTGAGAGATGAAAAACTCACGGGCATTGGAGTTGTTCTCAAATAAATCCAAGGCAAGAAAGTAGAATTGTTCATCAACACCTTACAACTCATCCAACACCTTAATGCACTTGCTTATGGAGAACCTGTCCTCCTTCTTCAGAATTGCATTGGCCTTCATCTTTGAAGCAACAACAATCTCCAGCATGGCATCCACAATGGCATCTCCGTTAGCCTTGCGGCTCTGCTTCTAACCACTGGAACTAGACGACACAAACACCCAAAAATTACAGCCATACCTATCCTAGCTAATTCCAATTGCACAGTACAATTAACCAATAATGGGAGAGACAATCACACCCAAAATTCAAAACCAGAGAAAACAAGGAACCCTGAAGCTAATTCTCACTAAGCGAACAAAGTTCAACTGGCCCGGAATTAAAAGAGAGCATTTGTAATGTACGAGTAGGTTCGCAATGCAATTAAGGAAAAGGAACAAAACATCGGACCGTGTCGCAGCTTTGGGAACTAGGGTTTTTTTTGAGAATTTTGGGGGTTTTAGAATATGTTCATGCAATTTTGGATTTTTTGAGTTTTTTTGCGATTAAGGTTGGTTCTTGTTTCTCATGGTGCAATTTGCGGCTTAGCGATTAGGGTTGGTTCTTGTCTCATGATGTTGGGTGTGACCGTGGGAGAAAGGATTTCCAATTTTTAGTTCTGGCAAAGTTGGGATGCGAACGGTATCACAGTGGTTGCGATGGCAGCAACAACCTATTTCGCGTGGTGGTTGGCAGCGGAGTTGCTCCATTCTGACCTTGATGGAGTCCTTGTGGGCTTGGTTTGGATTGACAGAAGTTTGGTTTATATTGGGCGGTAGTGTTTGCTGCCGGGAGGATGCACAACTTCGAAACCTTCGTCGATGTCGACGGGATATGTATCACGAATAGGAAGCACGGGTTCGAGGAGAAGCGGTATGCGAACGACGACGTGTACGAGGGTTGGTGGCGGTGCAACTTGCAGAGGGGAGGGAAGGTACACGTGGCACAACGGAAATGAGTATGTCGGGGAGTGCAAGAATGGCGTCATCTCTAGGAAATAAATTTAACTTATTTAAATGTTAAAATAAATAAACTCCACGTAATGTGTGCCAGGTGCTTAACAATTGCGCAGTCACCATGCCACGACCTAAAATTTTTAACCCGTCCAATCCAATTAAGAGCAAGGTTACAATTGACTCAATTTTAGAGCAACATGAACTTAATTGAGATACAAAAAATACGAGAACCTATTTGAGACTTCTTTATATAAATAAAAACATTCGAAATGATTAAACTTTTAAATTAAGAGTCAATTCATATTATTGACGTCACCATTGTAACTAAAATTGTTTTTTGGAAAGACAATTATATAAAAATATATTTATTTTTTATGGTAAATTACATAAAAAAAACATAACACACAAATATATATTTTGAAAATATATAATTATATTAATTAATATATTATAAGACTATGTTTTTAATAAATATAATTAATAGACAATATCTCTAGAGCTTTGGCTATTTATATTTAAAACGGAACTCGATTTTAGTTGGGTAAAATTTTGTTACAGTTGAAGAATAAATTGATATTAAATGGCACATTGTATAATTATATTTTTCAAGACTCTTTTTAAAATATAAATTTATTGAAAAGTTTAAAATTGATCTTTAATTAATTAGATACTAATTTAGACACTAATTTATTTAGTAATAAAAAAATTGATAATTAATATCAAAGAACAATTTAAATACTAATTCATAAATTCTTCATGGTGTTCTTTTTCCCTCAAATAAATTAAATGATTGTATTCTATAAAATCTTTTAATTGCAATAAATAATTTCTACAGTAAACATGTTATTTTTATGATTTTGTTGCGGATAAGATTGGTGGATGAAACAATGTTAGGAATGATATATATTTTGTAACGTGTGTAGGGAGAGAGAATTATCGTGATTTATATTAAATTAGATTTTCATATGTTTAACTTTTAAATATTATGTTTCAAAATACAAATTTATATAAAAATATCTTTAGAATTCCTTAATGAACTTAATATATTATTAATAGTCTAAATCATTAAAATTATATAAAAATCCAATGACGCAAATCATTAAATATTTCGTAATAGTTGTAATTTGTTGTGACGTGTGTTGATATTTACACTATTTATTAAATGTAATATATAAATGTATGCTGTGTTTATGATATAATATGTTATTTTGTGCATATATTACATATTATATATATAATATTCTTATATTTGGATTTAAAATAATGAAAATTGACGCAAAAACTCTAAATTAAAATGAAATAACTCAAAAGATTTACAACCCAAAAGATTTACTTATATTTCCATAACATTCTTTTAATTTAGATTCTTCAATTTTTTTTTTAAACAAAAAAACGATTACTATATTCTATTTTTTATTTTAATTTTTAAAATGGAACTAATAGGTAACTAAACTCT